GGCTGGGGATTCGAACCTGCCACCTTAGGTGTATGTGGCTGGTGCCTTAGCAGCTTGAGCCACAGGTGCCGAGCCGATGGTGAACTTTCTGATGACCAGCCTGTCCCTTTCCCAAAATGATTGGACCCTCTTGCCCTCTCCCAGTAGTTTGAGGGTTTCAGTCTCTCCATGTCCTCACAATACTTGCTATAATCTGACTCCTCGAGCCTACTGGCCCCAATGGCTGTGAACTAGTGTCTCATTGCAGTTTTGATTTGCAGTTCACTAACAGGCAATGATGCTGAGTATCTTTTTATGTGCTTACTGGTTATGTTTTACCTTCTTTGGAGGAAAATTAGGAGTGACATATTGAATGTGTTGTATGCCTGGTACTTGAGGTCACATGGATTTTTTCACTAACCCCTTATTGTAATGTGATATTGTAGTCACTATTTTCACATGCAAAAATTAACACTAGAAACTGCAGATTTTCATTTGACTTTTAAGTCAATTTAAAAAGCACACACTCATTTGTATGTCTGTGTAAAAAATGGATTTCCTCTTTTTCAAATCCTCGTGTTTTCACAATAATAAATTGGCTGCATACACTGGCTCATACCTATACCCCAGTACTTTGGGAGGCTAAGGTGAGACAATCACTTGAGATCAGGAGTTTGAGATCAGCCTGGATGCCTAGGCAATAGCGAGACCCTGTCTCTACAAATAATAAAATTAAGCAGGTGTGGTGATGGGTACACGCAGTCCCAGCTACTTGGGAGGCAGAGGCAGAAGGATTGCTTGAGCTCACAAGTTGGAGGTTGTAGTGAGCTATGACGACTCCAGCCTGGACAAGAGAGTGAGACTCTGCCTCAAAAAAAAAAAAAAAAAAAAAAAAAAAAAAAATTCAATCTAACAGTAGCTGTGAGCACTTTTATACCACTATGCACCACATGAGAGCCTCACAGGATAAATACCTTACTCTCACTCCAAGGGTAAAGGTAAGAATTAACTTTAACTAAAAATCTGTCATCTATACATCAAGTATCTCAAGAACAAACAATTACAACTGGTCCTATCACCACATTTTTTTATTTCAGCTAGTTAAGGCCCTGTGATCATATCTCACAGATCTTTCAGCCCTCCAGCTTCCAAAGGCTCTCAACAGTTTGAAACATCTCTGCATAAAAAAACAGCTCCACAGTATTTATCCACAGACTGATACATGCTCAGTATCTGTACTTGGTGGAGTAGTCCTTGGGAGACACAACCAGACCGCGGCCTTTGCGGGCGCCACGGTACACAGTCTCTATGATGTCCACCATCTCCTGCTTGTCCTCCATGGCCCAGTTAATCTTGTTGTTGTTGCCGGTGCCCAAGTCAATCATGATGTGCTTGTTTCTGCAGAAAGAGGGCAGTGCGTCAGCTCTCACATGAATCTTAAGAATTCCCTGGGGGAGGGAGGGACCTTATTTTTCCCATTGCTAAGACAAGAACATACAGTCAAGAGCAGTGGTTCTCAATCTTCCTAATGCCACAATGTATTTTTCTTGTTAAAAAGGGGTCGCGGCCCACAGGTTGAGAACTGCTGGTCAAGAGGGTACTCTATGATTTAGGCAGGAGAAGGTGGGAAACAACCTAACAATTGTTAAAGATGCATGCATTGTCCACCAAGCTTTTTCTGTATTTCTTTATTTTATTTATTTTTTTTTAGAGAAAGAGTCTCACTTTATTGCCCTTGGTAGAGTGCCCTGGCATCACACTGCTCACAGCAACCTCCAGCTCTTGGGCTTAGGTGATTCTCTTGCCTCAGCCTCCCGAGTAGCTGGGACTATAGGCGCCCACCACAACACCCAGCTATTTTTTTTTTGTTGCAGTTTGGCTGGGGCCGGGTTTGAACCCGCCACCCTACGGGAGTGTATGGGGCCAGCGCCCTACTCACTGAGCCACAGGTATCACCCATTTCTGTATTTCTTTAGGACAAATATCATGAAAGGAAATTAGAGTCAAAGGATACAGCTTCAGTCACTTGGAAAGACAAATTGTTTTTTAGAAGGTTGTATTAATGTATCTGAAAAAAAGCAATGCAAACATTTTTCACAGTGCTCTCATGAGCATGTGGCATACATTTTATTAAAAGCCCTACAATGGTGAAATGCAAACAACATTTTGCACATCCATGATTAGGGAAGTGGATAACTCTTTACATATACAATTAAGAGTCTACAGACTTCTTACAGGTTTACATGTACACTTTACAAAATGAATTTTTCCTGGTTTGTTGAAGATTGGTTTTTATTGATTTAACTTCTCGCTTCCACAAAATCATACATTTGGCTTCAACCCACTACTGCACGGAAAGTACTACATAAGGTCTCTGGGTTGGCCTCCTTTCAGCCAGACTGAGCTGAAGGGCAAATATGATTATTACTCTTCTGTTTCAAATGTTCACTCTAGGACAAGTGTCCCAAGTGTTCATGGGACCAAGAACCCCAGGTGAGACCGTCACCTTCACTGCCCTTCACCTGCTACTTGATCTGTGCTCTCCTAGGCAGACCCCACGCCAGTTGAACTGCCTCACCCCTAGGCTTCAGGAGGCAGAACCCAAGACGGGACCCTGACACCACAGGAAGAATTTTGAGGAGCAAGAGAGAAAAGGTCTAGGTTGCCTTGGACAGTTGGTCAGTAGAAGGAGACCCTTGGTACAGAGTAGAGAATAGCAGGGATGTAGTGTCCTACAGGGACATGAAAATCAGAACTCGAGATGTTTAGCTGAGAAAATTTCCAATCAAAGTCTTACAGGTGCTGTCTTCAAAATGAGAGAAACCTGTGTAGGACTGTTGACAAAATGAACAAACTTGAGATAAACTGATGATGATAAACTTGAGATGTTTAGCTGAGAAATTTTCCAATCAAAGTCTTACAGGTGCTGTCTTCAAAATGAGAGAAATCTGTGTAGGACTGTTAACAAAATGAACAAACAGCCCCTCCAGATAGCAAAAAAAACTGAAATTAGGAAATGTCTGTGAATCAGTGGCAGAGAGAAAAGCATGAGGTTCTGGCCATTCAATCTTCACTAAATCTGGGAAAGAGCAAGAGGTCACAGAGATGAAGGGTCTCACAAAAGATCTCAATCAAATAAGAGGCACCTAGGAATGCTGAGAGCATGTCCAGTTGAGCATGTCCCTTGATATCCAGAAACACCATCGGCTCACAGTGAGGGACAGAGGGCCAGGAAAAGGGCCGAAAGACTCAATGCCACTGGCAGCAAGAGGCTGACAAATACTTTTCATAAAAAAAGAAACCTCAGGGCAGAACCCCTTCCAGAGGATGAAGCACGAAACCAGGGGAAAGCCCGAGTTTACCGGGCTTGTTTCTTCCCTTTTCCTGCCTTTTGAAGAGAGCCCATTTCCTGGGCCTGTGTGCACTTGTTGAGGGACATGGCCCTTCACACTTGTCACAGTTCCACAGGTAACAAGGAGTGGTACCCAGAGGCTGCACAGACCACCTCCTGGAGCCTCGTCCATACCCCACTCAGATGCCTACTCGATGAGATTATGAGCCTCTCACTGACACCGTCCAACTCAGTGTGAAGGTGGATCCTTGGTCACGTGGGGAGGGGTGCATCCGGCATATGGGAGGGCCAAGAGGGCACACTGCAGCAAGCCAAATTTGGCTTGCATTGCATGGCCAGATGGTCAAGATGCACCCCACAGTTTCCAGCCTCAGTCCCTGGGTCTGGGACTATAATGAGGCTCCATGCCTGTGATTTTGCTCTGCGACATTGCAACTGGCATTTGCAAGTACAGTTAAGGCTCCCTATCAGTTGGTTTAAGATTATGGATAAATGGGGTCAGGTGCCATGGCTCACACCTGTAATCCCAGCACTCTGGGAGGCTGAGGCAGGTAGATTGCCTGAGCTCATGGGTTCCAGACCACCCTGAGCCAGAACAAGACCCTGTTTCTAAAAAAATAGCTAGGCATTGTGGTGGGCACAAGTCCCAGCTACTTGGGAGGCCTAGGCAAGAAGATTGCTTAAGCACAAGAGTTTGAGGCTGCTGTGAGCTATGATGCCATGGCGCTCTACTGTGGGTGACAAAAGGAGGCTCTTGTCTCCAAAAAACTCCAGAAAGACTATGGATAAATGGATGCAGGCACTGAATGGATAGCTGATCCTCCAATGACATGGGTTTGAGATGTGCGGGTCTGCTTATGTCTATCTTTCTCCTGCCTCTGCTCCCTGACCCATGATAGTAAGCATGCCCCTCTCCTCCTCCTCAGCCCACTCACCAGGAAGATGAGGAGAACAAAGGCCGTTATGGTAATCCACCTCTGCTGTAACAGTAAAGATAATTTCTCTTCCATATGATTGTCTTATTATTTTCTCCAGCTTACTGTACTTTAAGAATACAGTATACAATACATACAACATGCAAAATACATGTTGAGTGACTGTATGTTATTCATAAGGCTTCTAGACAATAGTAGGTTTTCTGAGTAGTTAAGCTTTTAGGGAGTCAAAAGTTACACTCAGATTTTTGACTATACAGAGGGTCAGTGTCCCTAACCCCCAAATTGTTCAAAGGTCAACTGTACAACAATGGAAGACTAAATACCATTCAGCCATAAAAAAGGAAATCCTGCTATTTGCGACGGCATAGATAAACAGATAAACCTGGGGGAAATTATGTCAAGTGAAATAAACCAAGCACAGAAAGACAGATAATCACATGATCTCACTCGTGTGTGGAATCTAAAACAGTTAATCTCATAGAAGTAAAGCAGAATAGTGGCTAACAGAGGCAGATGTGGCCAGGGGAGGCAGGGCTAAGGGAGATAGTGGTCAAAAAATACATATTTTAGTTAAAAGAAATAGTTCAAGAGATCTACTGTACAGCATGGTGCCTACATTTAATGACAACATATGGTATTCTTGAAAAATGCTAAAAGAGTGGATGGAAGTATTCTTACTATGAAAATAACTATGTGAGGTTATACATTAATTAGCTAGATTTAACCATTCCATGATATATATACATATATATATACACACACAAGCACTACAGAGATATACTTCACAACACCATGTTGTACACAATACAATTTTTCATAAATTTTAAAAATGAATAATTTAAAAAAAATTAAAATAAGGTCATTATCTTGGATTATTTGGGTGAGTCTACTCACATGAACCCTCTAAAACTAGAGTGTTTTCTCACATGGACTCAAAGTCAGAGAGACTATGTGACAAGGACTCTGCATGCCAGTGCTGGCTATGAAGATGTGGGGTCAGAGCAGAGAGTGGCCCTTGCGCACAGCAGTGGCAAGCAGACTCCAGACCAACCACCACAAAGGCCTGGCCTCCGCTGACAGCTGCAACAAGCCAAAGGGGATTCTTTCCCAAACCCCCAGACAAGTGCCCTGCCCATGACGACTCTGACCTGGTGAGGCCTTAAGCAGACTCCAGCTGATCCCACCCAGACGTTTGCCTCCAGAACTGTGACGTTAGAAATGTTGATGTAAGCTGACAAATTTGTACATGTGTTTATACAGAACATAGAATGAATTGTTGATGTAAGCTGACAAATCTGTACATGTGTTTATACAGAACACAGAATGAATCCACGCCCTATACAATCCACCAGACCTTCCTCATCCACTAGGTGGCCCTACTTTTGGAGTACGGTCATTTGCTCATATAGCCATTTGCCAACTTCTATAGTAACTAAAGTAAGAAATTTTGACAAGTAATAACAATTTCAAGTGATGATTTCTTTTCAAATTAAGTCTCCACAATATAATTTTTGAGCTGATACAATAAATGTATATTTACAAGCAAAGTAATTAAGTTCGGGTATTCCCCTTGGGCATCAAAAAGGAACACTAAGTCAAGTCACTGGTATCATATTTAAGAAGTGAGTTATTTAAAAAAATTTCTCAGCTCAGCGCCCGTAGTACAGTGGTTACAGAGCCAGCCACATACACCAAGGCTGGCGGGTTCGAACCTGGACCGGGCCAACTAAACAACAACAAATGCAACAAAAAATAGCCGGGTGTTGTGGCAGGCGCCTGTAGTTCCAGCTGCTTGGGAGGCTGAGGCAAGAGAATCGCTTGAGCCCAAGAATTTGAGGTTGCTGTGAGCTGTGACACCATAGCACTCTACTGAAGGTGACAAAGTGAGACTCTCTCTCAAAAAAAAAAAAAAAATGTTTTTTTCCGGTTTGGCACCGATAGCACAGTGTTACAGTGCTAGTCACTTGCACCGAGGCTGGCAGGTTCCAGTTAACCAACAATAACAACAGCAACAAAAAAATAGCTAGGTGAGTGGCAGGCACCTGTAGTCCCAGCTACTTGGGAGGCTGAGGCAAGAAAATTGCTTTAGCCCAAGAGTTTGAGGTTGCAGTGAGCTGTGATGCCATAGCACTCTACCCAGGGCGATATAATGAGACTCTGTCTCAAAAAAAAAAACAAAAAAACATTTTTTCATCAGCAGATTATAGTTAAAAGTATCTTAAATGTCAATGTCTTCCATTTAATAATACTTTACATAGGTTTCTAGGTAAAATTTGCTACTGACTAAATACTAAAACTAAAATTTTTACTTTGAAAATGATTTAAAAGAGTCACAGTGATTGCCTGGTGACACAACTGTATTGCTATATAACCTATTTCTTTCTAAAGACATCATGGCTACCTTAAACTTCCACAACAACATTCCACTTAAATGACAACTTTTAAGATAAGGTAACATACCTGAAGAAAAACATGACAGTACATGGATCGTATAACTCATACATTTTGTTGAAGTCAGGTACTTCTGTAATATCCACAAGATAAATAACTGCAAAATTCTTAACCTAAAAGAGATTAAAAATAAACTAAAATAACAGATTGATTTGTCTTTCATTCCATAAAAAAATTATAAAGACAAAATCAAGAATGTGTGTATTATGGGAAAATTTTCAAACTAATTCTTCAACATTTTCCCCACAGAGCTCTAGGCAGCCTCCCCAGGGCCTGAGCGAATGGCTAATTCTGCCTCGCCCCAACACTGCTCAGAACAGCTTAGGCCAGCGGTTCTCAACCTGTGGGTCGCAACCCCTTTGTAACAATGAAAATATGTCGCAGCATTAGGAAGGTTGAGAACCACTGGCTTAGGCCAAGGTGAACTTCACTCAGGCAGTGAAGTCCTGAGAAAAACACCCACAGACAGGAGATTCACACTGGTCTAGTAATAACCTATATGAACTTCTACAAATTTATACTTTGACAAACACATAAGGACATGTATTAAACAACTGCTCTAAAACATGCCTGTGGAACTCAGTCATTCATCCCTCAACCATTTAGGTTTGAACAGTCACAAATACTAGCAGTACTCCAAATAATACTAGATAAAGCAAGTAGCAAGTCAGTCTTCTGCAATTTTTCTTTAACTGCAAGTTCATCAGAGGAGATTTAGAAAAGAACAGAAAAATATAAAGTAAATTAGCTCTAAACCCAACATCTAGAGGCAATCACTGTTAGTATTTTTGCTATATTTCTTTATATCATTTAAGAGGGGTGTTTTTTTGTTTTTTTTTTTGAGACAGAGTCTCACCATATTGCCCTCGGTAGAGTGCTGTGGCATCACAACTCACAGCAACCTCAAACTCTTGGGTTTAAGTGACTCTCTTGCCTCAGCCTCCCAAGTAGCTGCGACTACAGGCGCCCACCACAATGCCCAGCTATTTTTTTGTTGTAGTTGTCATCATTGTAGTTTTAGCAGGCCCAGGCTGGGTTCAAACCTACCAGCCTGGGTATATGTGGCTGGCACCCTAACCATTGTGTTATGGGCGCTGAGCCTGGTGGGGTATATTTTTTAAAAATCTGTATACACTGTTTTAACAAAATGTGATCATACTACAAACATTTTGTATCCTGCTTTAATTATGGGCATTATCAGGCCAGACTCTAGTTCACACCTGTAATCCTAGCACTCTGAGGGCTGAGGCAGGAGGGTTGCCTGTGCCCAGGTTGCTGTGATGACACCACTGCACTCCAGTTAGGGTAACTGGGCAAGACTCTATTTCTAAAAAAAGAAAACAAAAAAGCATTCTTTTATACAAAAATATTTTTTATGGCTACATGTTTGGTCAAACGGCCATGACAGTGTCTCACCATTCTTTCTGTTTTTTCATGAATATAAATAACTCAAAATTGTCATTACTATCAATTATTCACCTGTGAACATTTTTATCCTTAAAGTTATATACATACTTAATTATTTACTAAGGATAAATTCCTAATATAAAATCTCTGGAACAAAGAACATGACATTTTAAAGGTTCCTTATTAATACTGTCTCAAAGCCCTCTATAAAGTTTATGCCAAGCTTATTCCTACCAAGGGATGTTCAAGTTCTACCCCTAGTATTGAGAATGTGACTTATTCGAAAACTGGGTCATTGCTAATAGACTTAATTAAAAGGAGGTTGCACTGGAGTGGGTTGCCCTCATTGAATACGACGGTGTCCTTATAAGAAAACAGCTGGGCTCGGCGCCTATAGCTCAACCGGCTAAGGCGCCAGCCATGTACACCTAAGGTGGCGGGTTCGAATCCCCAGCCCGGACCCGCCAAACAACAATGACGGCTGCAACCAAAAAATAGCCGGGCGTTGTGGCGGGCGCCTGTGGTCCCAGCTACTTGGGAGGCTGAGGCAGGAGACTCACTTGAGCCCAGGAGTTGGAGGTTGCTGTGAGCTGTGATGCCACGGCACTCTGCCCAGGGGGACAGCTTGAGGCTCTGTCTCAAAAAAAAAAAAAAAAAGAAAACAGCTGAAGACACTAACATGGGGAGGTGGTGGCCCTGGCAGTACTGAGGACAGGATGAATGCCCACAACTCCAGGAGCACCACAGGCTGCCGGCAGCACCAGATGCTAGGAGAAGGGACTTACCCTGGCAGGCGTCAGAGGGAGCATGGCCCTGCCAAGACCTCAATTTTAGACTACTAGTCCCAAAAGTGGTGAGAGAATATATTTCTGTTAAGCACCTCGGTTTGTGGTGTTTTGTCATGGTACATACAGGAAACTAATTAATATGACATGCACAACATTTCTTCATGTTAATTTTAAAAACCTAATTGTAATTTACAGACGAAATTACATGGTATTTGCGATAAAAACTGTAAAACAAGGGTTAAATAATAGGACTAGCAAAATATTGGTAATTGTTGAAGCTGAATGACAGAAATGAGGGTTACTACACTTTCCTCTATATTTTGGGGAATATTAAAAATATAGAAATTTAGGCCAGGCACAGTGGCTCATGCCTATAATCCTAGCATTCTTGGAGGCTCAGGCGGGAGGATCCCTTGACCTCATTGAGTTTAAGACCAGTCTGAGCAAGAGTGAGACCCTGTCTCTACCAAAAATAGAAAAATTTGCCAGGCATGATGACTGGTACCTGTAGTCCCAGCTACTCAGAGGCTGAGGCAGGAGGATCTCTTGAGCTCAATAGTCTGTCTGAGGTTGCTGTGGGCTACACTGACACCATGGCACTCTTGCCTAAGTGACAGAGTGAGACTCTGTCTCAAAAATGAAAAAAAAGAAAACTGATATGGAAATTTAAACTACCACCAGAGAGAGGGAATGAGGGAGAGGAGAGAAAAAGAGAACTGGAGGGAAAGTTCACACTTAAGGAGGACTCCAGCTGCCCTCTAACCTGGCAGAGAAAACCTTCATTAGAGTCCAGTGCAGCACACATTCTGGACGCACATGTGCTCCACTGTTCACAGGTCACTTTAGAAAACCCATACCGTAGTGTCCAGTAAACTGCTCACAGCTGGGTCATTCTCAATGAACACTGCAGTGTAATGGTGAAAATGTGCTGGTCGGGTTGCTAGAACCCAATTTTATTTTCATGATAAACTAATAAACTATATTCTGATTTTACTTAAAAACAAAATACCTCACTACAGAAGTTAAGACCATAAAATGGTCACAGGCATTAGGAAAGTGGAGGTTAGGCTGGGAGTGGTGGCTCACGCCTCTAATTCTAGCACTCTGAGAGGTCTAAGTGGTGGAATGCCTGAGCTCAGGAGCTCAAGACCACCCTGAGCAAGAGCAAGATCCCATCTCTACTAAAAAATGAAAAGCTAGCTGGACATTGTGGCAAGCACTAGTCCCAGTTATTCAGGAAGCTGAGACAAGAGGATGGCTTGAACCCAAGAGTATGAGGTTGCTGCTGTGATCTATGACGCTACTGCACTCTACCCAGGGCAACAAAGACTCTTGTCTCAAAACCAGGAAAGTAGAGGTTATATTTCATTTTTATCCCTTCAATACCTTACTCAGGGATAGATACAAGAAACACCAATGAAAATTAACTTCTTGAGTCACCACGCACATATTCTTTTTAAAAATCAAGTTGAGGCTCGGCGCCTATGGCTCAACCAAGGTGCCAGCCACATGCACCTGGGCTGGTAAGGTTCGAATCCAGCCCAGGCCCACCAAACAATGATGGCTGCAACCAAAAACTAGCTGGGCATTGTGGCAGGTGCATGTAGTTCCAGCTACTTGGGAGGTGGAAGCAGGAGAATTGCTTGAGCCCAGGAATTGGAGGTTGATGTGAACTGTGATGCCATGGCATTCTACCTAGGGCAACAGCTTGAGGCTCTGTCTCAAAAAAGAAAAAAAAAAATCAAGTTGACAGGGTTATAAATTGTGTACTTTTTTTTTTTTTTTTTTTTAAATGGAGCCTCAAGCTGTCCCCCTGGGTAAAGTGCTATGGCATCACTCACAGCAATCTCCAACTCCTGGGCTTAAGCGAGTCTCCTGCCTCCGCCTCTCAAGTAGCTGGGACCACAGGCACCCACAATGCCCGGCTATTTTTTTGGTTGCAGTCATCATTGTTGTTTGGCGGGCCCGGGCTGGATTCAAACACGCCACCTTAGGTGTATGTGGCTGGAGCCTTAGCCACTTGAACCACAGGTGCCGAGCCATAAATTGTGTACTTTAGGAAAATGATCACAACAAATTTTTATCCTTTTTTCTTATATGTAAAAATATTAAATAATACAATCATTTGTAGTTTTAAATGATTTATGGGCATTTAATAATCAGAAGGTAACCGAATTAATGTAATTTGGGTTATGTTTTATTTTTGTGTGACACAGTCTCACTCTGTGCTCTAGGTAGAATGTCGTGACATCAAAGCTCACAGAAAACTGCTAGGTTTGAGCAATCCTCTTGTCTCAGCCTTTCCAGTAGCTGGGACTACAGGCACCTGCTACAACACTTGGCTATTTTTCTATTTTTAGTAGAGATAAGGTCTCGCTCTTGCTCAGGCTGGTCTCAAACTCCTGAGTTCAGGCAATCCACCCACCTCAGCTGCCCACAGTGCTGGGATTACAGAGGTGAGCCACTGAGCCCAGCCAATGTAACTCGTTTAAAGACACAAACATGTATCTCTCTTCTAGCCTTCAAGCTCAGGCCCAAGGCCTCTAACCCCCACAAATACTAACAGAAGCAGACTATCATGTCAAGATCACATCCTACACGAACTTGAATATCCTATTTCATGGATAGGTTTCAAGATAGGTTTCAAGAACATGTGAGAATCCACTAAGTGCAAGGAACTTCTCACTCATGAATTCTTTCAACACTGCTAAGTAGCCTGCTACTGTTTTACATGTGATGGAGCTGAGGCCCAGTAAGGTCTCCTGATGCCACACAGGGAGTGGCAGGGCTGAGACTCAGCCCCAGTCTGGCTTCAGAGCCTGAACTCTGGATGAGATTTCCTGAGCTGAGTATCAAAGCATTCAGCATTCCCACAGCAGAAAGAGGCAGGGGCCTCACTGGATTAGGCTAAAAGAATA